GCCCCAGCCCCTAAGTTCTGCTTCTGCAGCATCCATGTTTTCTTTCTATCACCCACAGGGCTTGCATAGAGCAGTCCGTCAAGAAACAGTTTGACTGCAAGCCCAGCCACTATAGAAATCAGCATGGAGCATCCTCAGGAAACTAAGAATTCATCTTCCATATGACTCAGCTTTACAAACTCCTGATTGTTTACTCAATATACTCCCGGTCAACCTATCATAGAGATGCCTGCAAACCAATATGTCTCACAGCACTACTCACAGAAATTAAGGTATAGCAACAACTTAGGCATCTGTCAATGGAGGAATAGATAAAGAACATGGGATAGACAGACAGACAGATAGATAGATAGATAGATAGATAGATAGATAGATAGATAGATATGAGCTGTGTATATACAAGTATACTATATGTTTCTCAGGTTCTATATAATATATATGAATTACACATGCAAATACTTCATGTTTTTTTCTGATTTATGGGTTTTAGATTTTATGTAGACCCATAAAGCCATGTAGAAACAGATGACATGAGATTGGAAGTTAAGCTGCCTGAGGGAACAACTTGAGTAGTGAGGGACAAAGAAGGAGAGGGTAAAACATCACATACTTGCATGGAAATGTCCCTGTGTAACCCAGTTTCATAAAACAAGAAATTAAATTTTTAAAAAAGGAAGCAGTTTGATAGGTAAGTGAGCAAATGATTATAGAACATCCACGAGTTTCCCTCCTCAGCGCCCTCCATTAATCCAAGCCAGTAATGGTTGTTTTGGAAGACTGACTAGAAAAACAGGAAGTTTTCAAACTATTTCCTGAAACTATTTTCTATCTCCCTGAACTTTGATATTGCCAAAAGCTGTCAGGATCCTGGTATAAGTGCTTCAGAAAGGGTCTGGATCACAGAGCAGCAGAGTTCTATATTCATTCAAACCCATTCATAGTTTCTTTATTACTTCCAAAAATACTAAGTGAAGAATTTGCCTGGAATGTTCATCAGGGTGGCCATTAGGGGAACGATGAGCACCAGGGATGGTAGCTGCATTGAGGATGTTAGAGTGTCCTGGAGTGACGCTAAAGAGCTCAAATATTTCTCTGGCACCATCAGCAAGTATAACATTAAAATCTTCCAGCCGCCGGGCAGTGGTGGCGCACGCCTTTAATCCCAGCACTCGGGAGGCAGAGCCAGGCGGATCTCTGTGAGTTCGAGGCCAGCCTGGACTACCAAGTGAGTTCCAGGAAAGGCGCAAAGCTACACAGAGAAACCCTGTCTCGAAAAACCAAAAAAAAAAAAAAATCTTCCAGCCATCACCCTTAGAGAAACAGACTTCAGAGTAACAGTCACATACTGCATTAGCCCAGTGTTTGGGGATGTCAAAAGCACTGATAGGATGGAGAAATTTCACTGCTTAGTTACAGATCCCCAGCACTATTCCAGAAGTTTCCTGTGCTGCAGAATAGGGGCGGGGGTTGGGGGGACCAGCCTCAATGTTCTCAGTTCTCTGCCCACATCTTCAGTGAATGCCTGTAGAAGATGAGCTCCTGAGTGCAAGTCTGTTTTCGGTTTACTTTTGTGTTCTTGGATCTAGCCAGGATGATGCTCTATCTACTGGTAACATCCCCCCACCCTGATATTATAAAGGAGGGCAGGCAGGCTCCCTCTGAATGCCTGATGCACTGTCACCATCTGTAACTGTACTGGATGGGACATAAGGAGGAAGAAAAATGACAGGAGGGTGGGCAGTCTATGAAAGCTAGGCCTCCTGCTTCAGGGGTCTTTCCACAGTCTGTGAAAAAGGCCAGTCTATTCAAACCCCACCCCTTGCCTGTTCCATGAGATTTGATTGACATTTCTATTGTTCTCCAAGTCAGCCCTCTCTTCTTCGGGCTCATACTCCCAGAAAAAGATCCACTCCTTTCCAAACTCAGAGGATTCGAGCAGGTTCGAACAGGTTGCATAGTCAGGATTGCATGATAACAAAGGACAGCAGCATTGCCCCACACAGGCCAGAGGATGCTGGACCTGCAGTTACTGGAAGCGACATCTCAGAGATGCTGCTGTTGGATGCAGTGCTTCGTGGTGCTGCCCAGGACATGTCAGGAATTGGATCCGCCCCCAGGCAGGAACAGACTCTTCTTGCCAAGAGAGCTTTATTTCCACCTCCATCCCAGAGTAAGCACTGGAAACTGCTCGCCCAGAGAAAGCTGCTGCCATAGCAAATGTGGCCTCCTGGGGCTCAGAAGAGAGGGGTGGAAAAAGGCAACCCCATTCTGACATTAACAGAGAGACAGGTGATGTCTGGCAGAACTGAGCAAAGACGAACAGTGTTTTTGTAGGAATCAAGCAATAAAGGTTTTACACTTACAGAATGCATTCGGAGAAAGAGACTCAACTGATCAAGGCTTAGCAGTGAGGCCCCTGAGGAGAGAGATTATGTGGCAACCTCTAAAAGCTAGTCAGACTGTGACCCCTAGGAGAGGGTCCAGATGCTCTCCTCAGGGGAACTGTGTTGTGTTATGGTTTGAATCTGGAACATCCCCACAGGCTCATGTTTTGAATGTGTGCTTTCCAGCAAGTGGCACTGTTTTGGGACACTGGGAAGACCTTTGAAAGGGGGTCTTACCTAGTAGAAGTACATTAAAAAGGGACAAGCCACTGAAAGTTATAATCACCCCTAGCCTGATCTGTCTGTTTCCTGATCGGCCCCCCATATGCAGACCAACAACCACATCCTCCAGTTACCACCGAGGGAATCACTCTGCTATATACTCACTGCTCTGTTTGATTGAAATTTCTTTGAAACCATTAATCAGAATAAGTCTTTTCTCTCTCAGGGTGACTCTGTCAGGTGTCTTAGCCAGAGCGATGTGAAGGTAATGGACATTGACAGAGGGTTATCACCAATTTACAGTGAAGATGCCCAGATAGATGTTCCAAACACATCTAAATGCAAATCAAAGAACATTAGGACAGCCAATGGCATTCCATAAGTTCTCAGAGTATGTATTTAGCCTTCTCAGTAAGGTCATTGCTCATTCTCATAGGCCCATAAGCGACAGAATAACTTTTGAATTGCGTGGTCACACAATGAAGCCATGTCTGATGTCCAAGCCTAATGGATAAATGAGACCACAAGGGATGAGCTAAACTAAAAATTTGGTCCTGACAGACAGACCTCCCATGAGTGCATGAAACAGCTTCTAAAAATATTTTACCAGCAGTGTGATAAGAATGTGAGAAAAAGTGGTTGTACAAGCTTGCATTCCCACCAGCAGTGGAGGAGAGTTCCCCTAGCTCCACATCCTCTCCAGCATAAGGTGTCTTCAGTGTTTTTGATCTTAGCCATTCTGACAGGCGTAAGGTGGTATCTCAGAGTTGTTTTGATTTGCATTTCCCTGATGATTAGGGATGTTGAGCAGTTCCTTAAATGTCTTTCGGCCATTTGAGTTTCCTCTGTTGAGAATTCTCTGTTTAGTTCTATAGCCCATTTCTTAATTGGACTGTTGGGCATTTTGATGTCTAATTTCTTGAATTCCTTATATATTCTGGATATCAGTCCTCTGGAATGCAAGCTTGTACAACCACTTTGGAAATCAATATGGCGCTTTCTTAGAAAATTGGGAATCAATCTCCCCCAAGATCCAGCTATACCACTCTTGGGCATATACCCAAGAAATGCTCAACCACACCATAAGAGCACTTGTTCAGTTATGTTCATATCAGCATTGTTTGTAATAGCCAGAACATGGAAACAACCCAGATGCCCTTCAACTGAAGAATGGATAAACAAAATGTGGTACATATACACAATGGAATACTACTCAGCAGAGAAAAACAATGGCATCATGAGGTTTGCAGACAAATGGATGGATCTAGAAAAAATCATCCTGAGTGAGGTAACCCAGACTCAGAAAGACAAACATGGTATGTACTCACTCATAGCAGGATACTAGACATGAAACAAGGATGACTTGTCTGCTACTCACATCACCAGGGAGGCTACCTGGAAAATAGGACCCCAAGAAAGACACAGGGATCACCCAATGACAGAGAAATGGAATGAGATCTACATGAACAGCCTGGACATGAGTGGGGGTAATGAAAGGGAGGGTTGAGGGAAAGAGAGCTTGGGGGAGCGGGAGATCCCAGCTGGATCAACAACAGAGAGGGAGAACAAGGAATAGGAGACCATGGTAAATAAAGACCACATGAGAATAGGAAGAAGCAAAGTGCTAGAGAGGCCCACAGAAATCCACAAAGATACCCACACAACAGACTGCTGGCAGTGGTCGAGAGACAGCCCGAACTGACCTACTCTGGTGATGGGATGGCCAAACACCCTAATTGTTGTGCTAGAAACCTCATCCAACTACTGAGGGATCTGGATGCAGAAATCCATGACTAGGCCCCGGGTGGATCTCTGGGAGTCCAATTAGCGAGAATGAGGAGGGTTTATATGAGCGAGAATTGTTGAGACCAAGGTTGGATAAAGCACAGGGACAAATAGCCAAATGAATGGAAACACATGAACTATGAACCAATGGCTGAGGGATCCCCACTGGATCAGGCCCTCTGAATGGATGAGACAGTTGATTGACTTGATCTGTTTGGGAGGCACCCAGGCAGTGGGACCAGATCTTGTGCTCATTGCATGAGTTGGCTGTTTGAAACCTGGGGCCTATGCAGGATTGTTTGGCTCGGCCTGGGAGGAGGGGACTAGACCTACCTGGACTGAGTCTACCAGGTTGACCTCAGTCTGTGGGGAAGGCTTTGCCCTGGAGGAGATGGGAATGGGGGGGGGGGGTTGGGGGGAAGGTGAGGGGGACGGGAGGGGGGGAGAACAAGGGAATCCGTGGCTGATATGTAGAACTGAATTGTATTGCAAAATAAATTAATAATAAAAAAAAAAAGAATGTGAGAAAAAGCTCATCAATTAGAAACACACAGTTTGACCCATCCAAGATACCTGCCACCAAACAAAGACAAAATGAATAACCAATACTTTCAGTTTCATTCCTTTAATGTACATGGTTTAATTATCAGTTGAGCAATTTTGTAATGAACTACAAAATGACAGGTGTAGAAATGAGAAATCAAGTGAATGCATAACTCATACTACATAACTTCAAATCCAACCCAGTGTTACATGTATTAATAGCACAACCCAGAGCATAAGGAGAACAATAGATCAATTACTTCAATTAAACACACATACACACACACACACACACAAAAAAAAAAAAAACATGCAGAACTTCAAACAAGGAGTATCCAGTCTTCTGTGTCAAGGTTCTGAGTATTATAGATCACTTCCTATCTCCACAGAAGTACTTTATTGATTGGTGAGAATGGCTTAGAAGACAAAGATGGATCAAAAAGGTCGACAGTGCTCTTTGCCAGACTTTATCTGTAGCTAAAACACAAAACTGCTTTGAATTGTCCATTCCTATAATAGGCAGTTCACCAGCCTCGCTCTGCCTCTACACAGCAAGGGGAGAGATACAAACAAAATGGTTTAAAACACTTCAGATGGTACCCAGTGGCATTCTCAAGGTATTTCTGCAATGAAGGGGACTATTGTTGACCAATTTCATTTCACCTAGGCTATCTCAAGGCTGTCTTTATCCTAAATTACAATGTGCATATTGCAGCAGAGATGCCACCAAGTTTAAGCTATTAAGTCATTGCTTGCAAGAGTACATAAAGCAAGTAGTCATAATTAAAATGAAAACTAAAGGAATCCTGAAGATTTTTCACTAGAAATTTTAATTACTATTTAATCACCCAGTTTTTTCAAAGAAAATTTTGTTTTCATCCTCAACTCTTAAGCACTAAATTTGGAGAAAGCATCCATCCAGCTCTGTTTTCTGGGCTTGTTAGCTGTAGCTACAGAGGACAGATGATGCTGTCATTTGGAAAATGCTCTCTGGAAGAACCACACGATATAAAAAGAAGCTTCAACCACACCGACAGCACATCTTACCCCCATCAGACAGTTGCTGAAGTGCTGTTATTTATTCCCTATGGATACACTGTTTACCAACACGGAAGAATAGAAAACTCTCGTGACAGAAGGTTTGGCAGGCAATGGAATACTTTCTCTGCAGTCTATTGTAAAGTTAATTCTATACTTAAAGCCTTGGGAAGGAGGAAAATTCTTTTTAACTGAGAGAATGCACTAATATCTCAGAGATACTCCTTTGTTTTTGAGTAAACACTCTGATCCAAATCTGATATTGACAGGCCAAGGTCAAAGAAAACCACTCAGATAAGCTGCCCTCTTAGGGGATAATACAGAGAGAGACTCAGACACCAAGGGTTTGCCTGGGGCTGCCAAATCTCTGGCTCTCCCAATAGGGAAAAAACAAAAAGAGCAAACAAAATTTCCACAAGTTTCTGAACTAGGGATATAACTATTGAAATGAGCCTTTAAAGTATTTAAAGAGAGGCAACAGACCTTTACGAACAAATACCCAGGACTAAACATAAGCATCCCTCTGAAACATGCCCAGGGTAGAAACCATTAGGATTAGAAAATACACCAATTGAAATGGAAGCAGGAGGACCATTCCGCTAACATTATTTAAGTGGTGTTTGCTTGTTCTAGGAGGTAATTAGATGTGATTTTTGAAGATGTGTGCTTACTTAAAGGACAATTCTTTCCTTGTGGAATTCCTGCACCTGCAGCTGAAAAGAAGGATTATCATGAAAATCAGGAACAAGAGTGAGGAGTCCAAAGAAACACATTCCTAGTTTGAGGAAACTTTGGTGGTTTTATCATGAGAAGAATCAGAAATCCAGTTAACTCTCTAGGTCCCAAGATCTGGAAACTGGTCCAGAAACAGGCAAAAAAAAGGGGGGCCTTCAGACTTCAGAGAGTATTATGGGCAGGCAAAGGACTCAGTTTACCTGTAATTGGGCACATGCACTACACATACATTTTGTGCACAAAGAAGAGAACATGTTAACTACAGTTTAAGTCTGAAGTTCAGGAAAACTACCTTATTTGATGAACAGTTGGCTTAACCTTTTGCAACCCACAGGTTTAAATCTGTATACCAGCAGGAAAAGGATAAAGAAATATTGCCCCAAATGGGTTTTCACTGACTAATGATGAACAAGTGCTGATGAAGATATTTCCATGGAAGCTTTCCCTTCTACAGTAACATAAACAATGTGCCTGGATATCAAACAATCAAAATATATATAGACATTCTTATACCATCATGTTCTATATCCAGCTCTGGGAGATAACGCTATGCAGCTTAATATTTATATGACTCCTATTTTCCTTGAGTGATGTAGGCTAAGCATTAATAATTTTGAAACTTTTCTCTTTTCCCCCTCTTCTTCACAGAAAACAGCCATGATTTGAAAAGTGTATCACATTATTAGCAATTGAAAATTTTAGACTAATTTCATGAACAGCCTGGCTGGTATGAGGGCTCAGTGTAGAACTTGAAATGTAATAAAACAAAATCAAGCCAATCTCTGAACAAGATCATCTTTTGTAATCCTCCATTTTTCTTACCTGTGATGTGGAGTTGATGTACTTCCTATAAGATTATTGAGACTACAACACAGGTGATAGTTGTCATGTAGCAGAGCTGACACTAGAACATAGACCATTGCTTTGTCAGCTGCTGCGACCTCAGAACATAGAACAGTGCTTGGAGCATCACAGCTACTTAAACAGTAGTTGTTAGATGAGTGGGTGGAAATGCTGTTGGGTGTTGGACTGAGGATAAACTTGCATCAGCCTGGGGAATGGTTAAATGTATGCTTCTTAAAGCATTGAGAAACACTGCATAAAACATTACTAAATCATAGTCAAGACTTATTTAGATCATTCTTTTGCCTCTGACATGACCTTACCAAACTAACAAGGCATCAAGACAAATGTCCAATCCTATCCTTAAAAATCTTTAAATCTTCCTCAGAATGAGTCCACTTAATCTTCATAGAATCCCAAACTCTCCCCATCTCCATCACACACTGTCTATAAAAGTTATATATCTCTGCAAATAACATTCACATTCCTTCCCCTCCCTCTGGTCTTTCCTACTCATGTTTCTTTAGAAATAGTCTGTCTACACTTCTTATTTCCTCCTGGTATTTTGTTCCCGGCAGAGAAGTTTCCCACGGGAGTGGGGATGCCGTAAGACAGCATGAGCAATCCACCCTCCCAGGACAGGCAAGAGGGTTAGTCCCACAGAGCACCTACTACCTAGAGATGAGAGTCTCTCTGGATGGGTACTGTTTGGAGGCAGTATTTCTGTTAGTGTTACCTTCTTTATTTTGGATTGTTCAAGAAAGGGTAATTTGTACTTTATGAGGGTGTATTCATTTGTAAAATGATTCATATTTTAACCTATTTCATATTTATTTTAAGAAAAAGTTCTTTTTATGTGGATTGCTTAAGAAAAGAAGAATTATTTAGGCCTCTCATTCTAATTCTTTATCTTTTGAATATCTAGAAACTTAGCTTTTGGGCACATTCTGTTACACACGCCCTTATAATAACATCCATGTTCTCTTTCCTAATTTGATTCAATGACTCAAAAATGAAAACTCAGACTACTCTGCACATACATCATGTGTCACTCTGCCTCTTGTTACTTTGTGGTAAAACACAAAATCCTAATCCTAAACTTTCTATAACTGAATGGAAAAAAAAGGACATAAAAAAGGAAAGAACATGACCATTCCTAGATATGGTGGAAGAGGTTTATGTAGATACAGGGAGAACATAGTCAGAGGCAAGGGCATCTGGGAGAGTCCAGAGTAGAAATGACCCTGAGCCATGTGATGAGAGAGGAGTGAGGGGAAGGGAGAGGGGGAACAGGGGAACCAGGTGCAGCAGCCAGAAGTCCCCAAAAGAGAACAGAGAAACCAAAATGTTGGATTATATAGGGAAGGGCAGCTGGGGGTAGGACAGCCCTGCCTCTGGACTGGAGAATTCAGGGTAAAGGGCAGGGGACAAGATATGCTAGCCATACCCTGTAACAGGTGGTGACTGAGGGATGCTGGGGAAGCTGGTGTCCAAGTTAATATGTTATGTTAAATAGGCACTTCAGCCACTAGTCCCAGGCTTTGAGACTTAGCAATAACCAGGTGGAAAGAGCCATAAAAGAAGATGCAGACCTTTCCTGTGAATACATGTTGCCTCCTGATGTGTGATACACAGGTAAATACATCTGATGCTGCAGTCATTTTTTTTCCTAAAAATATTGAAATCCTGTGCAAGCTATATTCTTTTTAACCGGGTGCATTTGATTTTCTAACCACTGAACAATTTCTGATTATGCAACAACAATGGCCATTTGATCACTGACAGTATATTTGGTAGGCTGCCTTAACCAAGGATAGGCTGATTAAAACATATGGGTTTCATTCAAATTCAGGTTCTGGTGCCTATTTTGCCCACCCAGAGAACTGCTTATTGCAATACTAAACCAGAATGGTCGATTTCACCAGGAAAATTCTCGGATCTCATTTCTTTCACATTGCCTCAGTACAGAGGTCTGTATCCATGGGAACTACAATCCCTAGCATCAAAATGAGACACCAGAGAAGATAAGAGCATTTGGGGAAGTAGGAAGGCTGAAGAAATGACTCTGGTGGAAATTAAACTATAACTTTAACTAAAATCCCAAAGAATACGTTAGTCTATTTACATGTAGGGTAACCTACTAGGAAGAAAGGGTGGGGAGATTACTGGGAGCTTCACATTTCACAAGTGAGAGTAACTGGAGTTTGCTTGGATGGGTTAGCTTGACTTCGTCATCTAGTTGAACATTATAGTCAGTTAAGAGGATACTGAGTGCTCACTTAGGTGAGATGAGATCACCTAGAGAGTGAGGTGGTTGGTGGTGGTGGTGGTGGTGGTGGTGGTGGTGGTGGTGGTGGTGGTGGTGTGTGTGTGTGTGTATGTGTGTGTGTGTGTGTTGGTGCACATTAATAGGAGTGAATGGATGTGGAGTCCAGAAGTCAACATAGGTTATCTTTCTCAATCTTTCTACCTTACTTTTTTGAGACAGAGACTACCATTGAACCTGGAGCTTGCATATTTGGCTGGCCATGCTGGCCAGAGAGCCCCAGGGACCCTCTCTCTCTGGCACCAGAATTACAAGGTTATCCCATTACCTGGCTTTTTTATGTGGGTGTAGGTACTCAGAAGCCAGAGCTCCATGTTAGCATTGCAAGCAGTTATTGTCCGAGTCGTCTCTCCAGTCCCCAAAGTGAAGGTTTAAGAACCCGGGATCATCTTTCCCTTTATCAAAGGTTAGTCTCTTCAGCAGCTTGCTGTTGAATCTGGAGAACATTATTATTAAGAGACAGGAAGGGTCCAGTGGGAACTTAATTACATATTCACAGTTTTAGGTTTTCCATTTATAATGAGTTAAAAAATTATCTTTGAAATTAGTCTGCAGTGAAAGGTTATAGGAATAGGCCTCTGTGTTCAGTTGCAGGTTCCTTATCCTATATGAGGAAGAGACTTCATGAGGAGTGTACATGTTATATTTATGTTACAAGATTTCCCAATCTCAGATGGCATGTGGGAATATTAGGACTATAATGTATCTTCTAGCACATTTAGAGGTCACACTCATATCACAAGAGAAACAGAGAAGAATGATTGACAGTAAGCTTGAAATTGGATGCTTTCTTAACTTCCTGATGTACTCAAAAATTTCTAGAAACTTTAATAGAAAGAAAACACTATAACCTAACATTTTTGTTTAGTTAAAAGATGGAATTTGTATTTATCAACTTTTATATTTGAGGACTTCATGAGTATTTTCTGAATTATTCTGAATCTAGACTACTTTGAATCTAACAACACACTTGGCAACAATATAGGTAGTGACGTAGAGATGCAGCTGTCCTTGTAGATAGTATAAAACTTCTTTTCAAGTGCATTTTTCTAAGTAAGAGGACTGAAATTAATTTTACTAGAAAGGACAGGTGAGTTTTCACTAGCAAAATCAAACAAATGTGATATGATTTCAAAAGGCATATACTGAGTTATCAAGTTATCACTCCCATTAAAAATTTCCCAGCATTCCTCTGCAGAAGAAATGCCTCCATATTAATGTATTGAGAGAATACTTATTGTCCAGACTTATCTAATTGTGCTCTATACTGTAAACATTTGCAAGCACTCTTCCACAAGTTCTTTGTCTGTAGATGTTTGTGTTGCCCATTGTTTGAATCCAGCTAATATATTGTCACTGCAGGTGTTTCTCAGGTAGACAGGTGTCCTCAGTTTTACACCTCTTCTTTTTATTACACCTTTGATTGCTTTAAAAAAAATGTACTCCGTGGGCATTCACCATGTCAAACATTTTATTGTTTTGTTTAATTATAGCTGTTTGTTTGGAGCTTAGCTAGAACACTGTACCAAAGTGAAGGCCTTGATTATATCTCATTTGGGGTCAAGTTATCTGCTATTTGTATCATTTAAAATGATCTCTGTTACTATTGTTTTCTTCCAATAGTTCATTCTAAATTCCAGTATGTAGAAGGATCATATGGGACAAAAGGAACCCTGGATTTTGCAGAGAAGATTTCTGATTCTGGCCTATGTGAGGTTGTTTTTGTATATTTTTAGGAAATTCATTGTTACCCAAATTATAAATCTGCATTGTACCCAAGAGAAGTCTACGCTAAAATTGCTCTCCACTGAGTATAGAACCCTACGGTAACATTTCAATAGCAGTGGCTCTTTATTTGTCTCATTTGTGCAGGTAACACTGAAAGTCAGCATTACCTAGAAGACTGAATTCTGCCTCTCATTATGAAAGCACACTTTGTTGAGAATAATTATTATGGGCAAGTCCTTAGGGCAAGATGACAGAAGAAACATAGGGATTCCTCCTAGGTCCTACAGAGTTTTGTAGAGATCCCGGGCAATCACCCCAGCACTTTGGAAAAACGAAATAATTCAATATATTAAAAGAGTTAATATTCACCTCAATAACAGAATCATCTGCTAAACCTTTCTTTTCTTTTTTGTTCAAGAGATTACACAATGAATTTCCAACCTTTACAATTCCTTTTGCTTCATGTACAAGTGGCCCTCTTAACACCAGCTTATGTTACATATAGCAATATTAATTGACAAATTGAAAGTGTCAAAATGACACTTCAAGGGCAGTGTTGTAAAAGTGAAGAGTTTCAATTATAGAAGAATTCTGATACAGTAAAATGAAATAAAGGGAGAGACAATCCTTTAGTGTGGCATGGTGAAACTGAAGCTTCACCCCTCCAATACAGCTGATATATAGCACAGTGTGAAGAAAGAGAGGAAGATAAAAGGGAGGGGTAAGGGATGGAAAGAAAAAGGGATATCACTGTTGTGTTCCACCCTCTTAGACTACTACAGAGTCCATCATAAACTCAGCTATAGTTAACCATAGTCAATGGACATGTAAAATAACCCCAGTGACATTCACTTAAAGGTGGTTATTAAAATCACTCCAAACTCATTGTCATTAATTCATCTTCATTGTTGGGTGGTAGATTTCATTCAGTGTCAAAAGGCTTTGCAAACTGGTCTTTCGTTTTAATGACAATTGCAAATGGTTACAAGGATATTTTAGAATCATGCAAAATTCCTTTGGTTTTCTCTATCGTAGACTTACTCTGTGCTATATATAATTCAGTGTCTCATTTCTCTAACAGAAGGACTGGGTATGTAGCTCAAGAGTGGACCACTTGCCTAGCATGTGCAATGCTGCTTGAATCCCAGTACTAAACAAACAAATCAACAAACACAAATTCATTTCTCCAATGGGATAACACTACGTATGTGTGCGGAGGTGGGCCCAACACTAAGAGTACAGAATTTCCAAACAAAGAACTAATCAAAGGTGCAAACAGCCTCCAAAGTCCTTGCAGCCTTGATGTGCCACCAAAGCACTTCTTTAACAACATGCCTGACTTTCAAATTCTACTCAGAAGCTTGACCATGCTTTTGGTTAAAGTCAACTAACCAACTACTAATGGGTAGGGAAATCTAGAAATTGAAATTTTTTTCCTATGGCGAGAACAACACATTTCTGGCAGGTTAGGTACCAGGTTAGGGCTGTTAAAGTATGGACACTAATTGGGAAAACAGTTGATAAACTTTCTTGTATCTAATGAAAAGCGAGGGAAAAGCTTATGACGGTGTCTTCCTTCGCAAGGATAAACAGTGCGTGGGCTCAAACATTTCTGGGTAAGCAGAACTCACTTTGTCTCTTGTATTCATTTGTAATGAACATCAGCTCTTCCCTGGGAAGGGCAAGGCTCAAATGACACTTGTGAATTGCATTCCCTAAGTACTACCTGCAACTTAACTGGGCTGTGCTGGCTATAGAGAGATGACAGAGACAGGACCCCAAATACACACCGTGCACAGTGGCTTAACCCCAATGCTTTATGTTACTTGTGAGCTTAACTCTGAAACTTAGTGAAATTAAACAACCAATGAACTGTGAAATAAAGCAGTGCGGTTGGCCTGGGGTGTGGCAATGGGCACTGGAGTGGACTAGAGCCTCAGTAGACTTGTCTCCCTCTAAATTCACTCATGACTTGAACGGGGTGGATCTTTTTCTTTGCTGAGCCTCTTCTGACAGCTGCACACGTTTCTTCTGGCTTCTCCCTTTTAATCAAGGGCTTCTTGGCCGGAGCCTTCATTCTCCACATGACAACCGGGTGGCGGGGCCCTGCAGAACTCTGGACGCGGATGATCTTGGTGGAAGCAATGTACGACATTTTCACTGTTTGCACCACAGCATTCATTAAATTTTTGGCTGCCTGGATCAGGGAGGTGACACTATCCAACTGTAGAAAAGAATGAAGAGAAAAGCCACTATTTAAAATGCAGTTAGGAATGTACGGTTTGAGGATGTAGAAGCTGACAGTGACACTTTTTTTTTCTTTGACCCAAGAATTGAATGAGCTAATTCTTATTTTACAAATCAGTATGTAATCATCTGCATCATTCCATCCTATTATTTTCAGAGATTTATTTAATGTGTTGTCTTAGAAGGATAAATTTCTTTCTCTTTGTTTGCAAGAAAGATGCACACACACACATACACACACACACACACACACACACACACACACACACACACACACACACACAGTGCAGACATACACATACATCACTGTTTTTGAGCATTAAATAATTACACTTAAGTGGGTCTCTGTCCTAACACAGAAATGTTATTCTACTATAGAGACTACTAATACAGAAAGAATGGAGGGTTCAAATAAAATTGAGTTTAAAGTCCAGATTCCTTTTTGAGAAACCTAGGGAAATGGCTTAATTATTTTCATCAAATCAGTTAATTTAAAAAAAAATGTTTATTGACGATAAAGTAATAGATGTAAGAAACCAGTAGATTAGCTGCCAGAAAGTTTATTATTATTACACAGCATTACCTTTGCAACCTATAAAGACTGGCAAGTTGTTTAATGACACAGATATACTCATGAAATTGTTAAAAAAAAATACCTTTCCCCCAGATGATTTTGTTTGTTAATTGTCCGGGATACTATTCATGTAAACAATCTCAAGAGACATGGAGTGGCATTCCTAGAATTTTTCAAAATACCTTAGAGCTAAGCCAAGTCAATTCATTTTTATACAACCAATGCTTTTTCAATTATTTTAGTTTGGCAGATTGTCATCTGCAGCCAACTCACATGGGGAGATGTGCCTCCACTGTCACCCCTCTGTGATAGGAGCTGTCAGGGCTGAGGCTCAGACACTGCCTCTGTGTAGTTACTGAAACCCATCAGCAACTGCTGGCCTGGATGCTCTAGCTCTGCAGCTCTAAGAGCTTCATTTCACACACAGAATAAGTAAGTGAGGTGGAGTAAGGAGCTGAGGTTATGCGCCTGGGGCTGTGGTCTCACGGGCTGCTTCCTCACAAGAAAATTTAATTAGCTCCGTAATTTGCCAAGCCTGAGATCCGTGAAAAGGTAACACCAAAAAATACATGATTTTAAAGACAGCAATATTTGGCAACAACACATGCATATATCTTTGTACAAATATTGTTTTACATACATACATATATTTTACTTATTAAAGTCACAACAGTGAAACCTGTGTACAAGACACAAAGGACAAATGTTTGCCAAACACTGCACAGGATTTTAAGTACTCACAAGTGTTTTAGAGGAGGTAGATGTTTTGTGTGTGTGTGTGTGTGTGTGTGTGTGTGTGTGTGTGTGTGTGTATGTGTGTGTGTGTGTGTGTGTGTGTGTGTGTGTGTTGTTTGTGTAGACATTGGTTGTCATCATCTTCCTCTGCCATTCCCTACCTTATATTCTGAGACAGGGTTTCTAACTGAACCTGGAACTCACTGCCTGACTAATGTGTCTGTGCCATTGAGCACTTCTGATCTTGAAGGACAGTAGGCAGCTTCTGCATCTGCACACAGCCTTATAAAACTATTAAATTTTAAATAGAATAGCAGGAGTCATTGTTAAACTACCAATAGATTACAAAACTAAATCTTCCCTTTTATAATTGTTTTCATTAAAACCCTAGTGCCAGGAATGGGTTACTTTTTTGGAGCTGTTGGACAGTGGCTTAAGTGTGGACTTAAGACCCACCCCCCAAAAAAAAATCATATGCTTTTGCCAATGCATTTGGTTATCTTCCAGAACTTGATGATAAGACCTTTTGCTGAAGACCTGCTATACTGGGGCAGAGAAAAATCAAGCTGGTACTAACCTGGAAGCTTCATCCCAACTGGTTAGCTTTCATAGTGCTAGGAAATACTATGAACAGTACCAGAGGTTAAAAAAAAGTAATCATTAATCTCACTCAGCCATGAACCTGGTGAACTATGAGAATGACTGGCCGGGGAAGACGTGACCACTGCTACAATAGTGGCACAAATGTTGTGAAATCCAATCAGAAAGACTTAAGGCTTGCTCCACATGAAATTCATATCTAGCATCATTATCAAGTCAAGAAACTATGGCTAGATAGGTCATAGACTATGGACGAGAATCTGCTAGTATTATTCTGCAAAATGGACATAGTAATAAATTGGCTCTTAATGACTTACAACTATATCCATAAAGACACCTCTCAGACGTCATCAGAGATGTTTCCATTTGCAGTAGATGATGATGAACATTGAGGGGCACAACGGGTCAAGGAACAGAGAATAATAGAGTGCAGAATGATCAGTTCTTAAGAGAAGATATTTGTTGTACCCTTCCTCCAAAGGCAAACAAGGGTATATAATTAGCTAAAGAGTCAGAGAAAGTAGATGGCCGCGAGGAAATGGTGTCTTTAGAACACAGTAGGGAGCTTCACATATGAATTCCCAGCCAGCATGAAAGCATAGACAAGACCTACATAAGCTCATGTCGGGACCAAATTCCAGCATGGTGAGACTAGTTGTTCGTGAAGTTCACCCTCTAAGGAGCTACGGGCAATCATTAGCTACCAAGAGAGGAAGTCGGTTTTTGCTAAGGGTGCAGCCCCTGATAAGTTAACTAGGCTCATACACCAGATCAGACATCTGCAAATATGTGGGAAACACAAATTGGCCTTAATGGGGGAAGCAAAGATGCAAACAGGACACAGAATTCATCAGGGAGAAAGGTGGGTCTGGGAAAACTTGGAGGAGGGAGAGTGAATATGATCAAAACCTGGTCAAATGAAATTCTCAAAAACTAATAATAAATAGCCCCCTGGTGTTCAGTAAAACGTGGACAATACTTTCCAAACCCAGAGCAGGAAAAAACAAGGTTTTCTAATGAGTGAAATAATATTTTAGGATACTGAGCAATGACATCCCTCAAACATGAAAACACTGGCTTTGTGATATGGATTCCACACCATCATAGATTCTTCCATTAAAGAAGATCTTAGGGACCATCTGTCACTCAAGCTCTCATCAGTGGCTTTGACCTTCTCACCCCCAAAACTTACTTTCTCTTGTCTTCTTTGTCATATTACCATGGATAGACTACATGGGCTTCCTATCCCTTTGATTTCTCCATGTAAGTGATATCTCTAGACAGACAGAGGAGGAAGGAAGTTCAAGTTCAACCCAGGCCTCACAGTGTGGGAACTGGCTTGTCTTCTTTCTCCACTAAATCAGTAAGCCCCTACCTGTGCCATTATAATCTCTCAGCCTGGTCTCTGAAAAATCCTTTGACTTTAAAACCTTAAATGGTTATAGGAAAACCTTCTGTTCCACATGACTCAGAGAAACCACAGGAAAAATTATGCCCCCTGGAGAGCATGAAGACTAGTTTTGCAGACAGCAGATTAGGACAATTGTTCAGAGAATACTGTTATTTTATGAGGGAAACTTCCAGACCTTGTTGAAGACATTTCACATTTGTGAACTATGTGTACTGAGATGTGTACCTCTGAGCTATTAGCCAAATCATAAGCAATGGGCAAAGCAAGCCAAGATAATGGTAGGAAATTTCATTGAGTGCCCATGCAGTGGGTCTATTCATGGAGAAAAA